GCTGAACCTTCTTTTGTAAACCCTGGGCACTTCACATGCTATACAGTAGCACTACCAGTGTAAGAAACCATGCCATTTTTCCATTGTCTTCAGCAACAGCAGGGATCCCAGATCCTGGTGGAAGTTGTGCCACTACTGACCAACTTCCCATCAAGGCATAAAGTGCAGCACAGTCTCTAGAGCCTGCTTAATTCCCTTCTTCAACTAGTGGTCTTTTTGTAACTTTCTTACTGCTTTCCACCAAGCAGTCTTAAATCAAAGGCACAAAGCCCCCTGTTTCCTCAGTTTCTTGTCTCTGTGGACTAAGACCTGTCGTGTTTGCAAAATACCAAGAACTGCTATTCCCACAACTTGCCCCATCTCTGTGCTGTGGAGAAAAGACACTTTCTTTTCTTTGCCACGTGCTTTTTATTTGGTGTGACCAATTTAATGATTTCAACCTCCTTGCTTTGCCCTCTTGTGCTCCCAGGCCCAAAGCTAGGTTAACACCAGTGGGAAGGCTAAGCAGGGCAGCACAGATTTTAGTTCCAGTCTTGTACTTGGTTCCTGGGATGGTCTCTTTGGGCAAAAATACTCCTCTGTGTGTGGACAGCTGTTTGCCAGCCTGAAAATACAAAACACAAGATCTTTGTCGAGATACAAAATATTAGGTAGTGTCCTGAATCATATACTGAGCTGAATGAATCTTTTGGGGGTTTAATCAGTGAAATAAAACGGAGCCCCTTGATGTAATGACAAGTAGAGCAGTATTCTGATTTGTTATAACATGTATTTAAGGTCCAAAAAAATGGGGGCCTCAGAAAAGTGCATTCTGCACCCTTCTGTTGCCTCCCAGCTCCCACAGTGTGGCTGCCACATGCTGTCAGCATCATGATGGAGAGATGCAGAGACACTAGGCAGGAGCCAGAAGGGTGAGTAGTGATGGCTGAGCCATGTCTGTAGTTCACTCTCAGCCTCAAGTCTTTACCTAAGAACTCCTTCTGCTGAGGAGTGAAATGCTTCTTTCATTAACCAGCCTTGGTGGTGCATCCCATCATGGGCCCAAAAGAAGTAATAAGCATGCCTTGGAGGAGAGAGACATTGTTTTTGCCCATGGGGCTCTTTGAGAGCTTAAGCAGGAAATGTGAGTAATTTTTAAATAGCTCTCATGAAGGTTACACAATGTTCACTTTGCTTCTGGGCAGTAGCCTGTGGTGGCCCTATCAGTAGGTATTTTGAAGCTAGACACCAAAGCTAGGGGCCTGTGTATCCATATCAGTTTCATCAGCAAGAGAGCCACGTTGCTCATGATACGACTTGGAATGCTTAATTTTCAGCATCCTTCTTTGAAAAGCCCCCAGTGATGTGTTCATCAGTCCCTGCTATGTTTTGTTGTTTGGCTTGGGGTTGTTACCCCTTCGACCTCAGCACATTCCTATGGAAGCACAATACTAAACCTCTGCTGAATTCTTAATTCAATGAGCTTCAGTATGCTGGTTATAGCACTGTGAGAGGGCCAGAGCAGATGTTGGCTACTTCTTGAGAGCTTTTTATACCCTCTGATGAGAACGAGCTGACATTGCAGCAGGAACTCAGAAGTCAGAGACCTGTGCAATGAATGCTCTTAACCCCGAGACCAATCTTCTCATACAACAGACTTTCAAAAGTGCTAAGCTCACTCAATGCCACATTTCATAATTCATGAGTGTGAACAATATTAGCAGGCTGTAGGTTTTGAACCATTCTGACCTTTGTATGCTCAGACCCTCCTCCTCCTAAAGGGGTTGAATTGTGGGTCTTCTAAAGGGGTCTTTGATAAGGGGTACTTAAGAGAGGAAAAAGGAGTTCATCGAGCAGAGGAAGATTAGGGGCAGGGTTGCAGCATTATGCTGAAAAGATCTTTTGACCCATCCAACCTATCACTTGCATTGTGGTAAAGATTATAAAGATGTTTGCAAAACGTGCTACAATTTAAGCTCATGAGCGTAAATAACATTGACTCTGAGTTTTCCATCCTTGCATTTTGTTATAAACAGTAAATTGTTATGCCCATATGTACCAGTTATGGAGTATAAACCCCATTTGTAGATGGGGAAATTGAGGCCATCAATGCCTGATGTAAAGGCTGTATCTCACAGGGCACAAACAACCTCGAGAGTCCACACTGCAGCATTCCTTGAACATTTCTAGATGCACTTCTCATTTTGAAAAAACACTTCCATCTGCTAAAAAGCCCAAGAAAGTTCTATGCATACAATGGCTGGCAAAATTGCAAATCCTATTTCCCTCAAGTTGCTGATCTCTTTTAGTAGCTCTTTATTTTTTTTAAACTGACTGATTTTAGTTGAAGCATGAGATACGCTTTCTGAAAGTGGCATCAGCTAAAATTTTGGAATTAACTCTAAACTTTTTTATAGCATGGATGAAATAATTATGAGGCAGATTGTATATTTATTAAATCAGTAACCTAAAATAATAATCTCAACACCTCAAGTAATTCCTATTGCCACCGTTTCGCAGTGTTCACTGTAGGAGGCAGATTTGTTTATGCTAGATGAACGGCATATTCTTCCCTTTAAAAAAGTTATGGAGGAAGAAGGGCCCAGAAACCAATGATGCTGATTCTACAGGCAAAATTATCTCAGTGAACATGAGGGATCTGGTTCAGTTCTTTGACATGCTGGTTGTACACCAATGTAGCTGTGCTGGCAGAGGGGCAGTGCCTTGGGCTTTGAGTGGCTGTGCCTGTCCTGTCCCCCAGATGCTCAGGGTCTTAGATGGAGCACTGTCATCAGAAATCACACCATCCAGCTTTTCAGGATGGAGTGCAAATGCACACTCATGGCCATGTTTTGTAAACACTGGTTTCTGAGCAGCACCAGCTCCCTTCTCCAGATATCCCTCCTTTGCAATGCTGCAAGAATTGGAAAGATAATTGGCTTCCAAAAAACAAGTGTAGTGGAACATCAGGAAAAAATGTGTAGTTGTGAAAACTGCTCTGGACAGGCAGATGACTGCACTTACAGGAAGCCTTGCTCAGCTCATTCCCATGGGATGGGAGTAAAGGAATATTGGCCTCTCCAGAACAGCTTGTCTATCGCTATGTGTTGCATTAAATAACCAGACTGACTAGGATAACTGTACTCATTGAGTGGGGAAGGAAGTGCTTATGCTTCCAGCTGGACTCCAAGTCTCCCTTGAGAGGTAGCATTTATAAAGAATGAGCCAATCTGTTACAAATTAATGCCTTGAAAGTTGATTTGTCAACACCCCTAAGGTTTCCTCATCCAGCCCTTGCTCCATTCGAGAGAGGTTTCAAACAGAGCTTGGTGGAGGGTTTCTCAGTTTCGGCAGAGCTGGATGCATAGAAAACTGGTGGTTGAACAAACACCAAGAAGCTTGTTTTCACTCAAAATAAATACTGCATTCTGCCACCTCACCTCAAACTCTCCTCTTTTTTTAAACTTGTAAATCAAAGCACCAGCTGCTCTTGCTGGAGAGGTAGAGGCTGAAATTCCTCTTGTTTTGGCACTATTTCTCACAGTTTTGCATTTTCTTCCCTAGCTCCCTATCCTCTCTAGTATCTAACTTGAGACATTTCTCTCCACTTAGGGCTTGGCCTTAGTTTGTTTTCCTTCAAAAACTGCTGTAGATACCTACGAGTGCAGACATGGTAGTGGTTTGCTCCCTCTGGGCACTAGCCTTGTTGCAGGGTGCAAGCTGACCCAGTAAGCCTTCAAAACCTGAGTCTGATTGTGTTGTTTCCTTTCTTTTTCAAGCTATCCATATTCTTGTCTGCTGTGATACTTCAACTGCAAGTTCTTTGGACCCAGGAATGGTCTGTTGTTGCAGTATTTTGGCAGGGTCTATCACAGTGAGATTCTGACCAGTTGTTAGGGTTTGTGATGTAGAAATGACAACCAAAACAGAAATAATGTCAAATATGTTCACTTCTTAGGAGAAAAAAAAAAAAGTACCTTCTTAGTTATATAATTTGCAAATGACAATCTTGGGATGTCTAAAATGTATCTTCATCTATAGGTGTGAATGTACAATATCAATGTTTTCATTTCAAAATGCGTAGGTTGATTGTGGCTTTTCTTGACATTGCCAGTTTTTGTTACCATATGTTCTTCTTTTGCAAAACCTTTAGCACTGTTAACTTAGCTTAATGTAAACAGATGAAGCTGCATCTTATATTTCAAAATGCTCAGGCTATAGAAGCGCCACCTGAAATTGTGCATGCAGGACTGGTCTTTCCTGTGGTGGAAGTTCTGCCTACCCTAACTTTAATTCTGAAAAAAGATGGGTGATTTCTAGTGTCACACAAAATGTGGGTGTGAAGAAATGAGGTGCCACTTGGGCATTTTGATGGTGTCTCCAGAAGGCCATGCGTGGCCAGGATCTTCATCTTACACTGTTTCTCTCTCGCAACTAGGATGTCAACGCAGGCGAGGGGAGCGAGTTCACCGACAGTGGGATTGAGGGAGCAGCCACCGACACTGACCTCCTTTCTAGACGCTCCAATGCCACCAACTCGAGTTACTCCCCAACAACCAGCCGGGCTTTTATTGGCAGCGACAGTGGGAGCAGCTCGACAGGTGATGGGCTTCGCCAGGGAGTGTATGAGAACTTCCGTCGGGAGCTGGAGATGAGCACCACCAACAGTGAGAACCTGGAGGAGGCTGGCTCTGCCCTCAGTGACGAGCAGAGCAGTGGCACCCTCAGCTCCCCGGGGCAGTCTGACATCCTTCTGACGGCTGCCCAGGGCACGGTACGGAAAGCTGGGGCTCTGGCAGTGAAGAACTTCCTGGTGCACAAAAAGAACAAGAAAGTGGAGTCAGCAACACGCAGGAAATGGAAGCACTACTGGGTTTCCCTGAAAGGTACAGAGCAAACGTGCAAGGGTTTATCCAGATGGGCATCCACTGAGTCCTGGGTTATGTATTGCTGCAGATAAAGGAACTCATAGCCTCGACTGTAACAAAAGCTGCTGTGAACTTCAGTGTAGTTAACATCTTTCTCCAAGATGTGCCTCATGAGTATAAACACCCAGTGAGTTGCAGAACATTTGCAGTGTGAACAGGAAGCCTTTAATCATCGAGGCTGGCTTGTGACTTGGAAGATGCTGGCTCTGGCTGAATCATCCACCTCGTGGTGGGCAGCACCTGGCCACCCTACCAACCTCTTTGGCTTCCTGGGCCACAGCTCCTTTTCTCTCTCAATTTTTGCAGTTCCTGCCAGGAGCATGCTCCAGCCTTGTTTGGGGTATGAGTGCTTAAAAATGCACATAAATGTTAATGGAGCAGCAAAACACAGGAGCTGCCCTCCTGAAGCGATGTCTAATTAATCTTCATGCAATTGCATCAGCAGTAAAACAGGAAGCAACACTTGCAGGGTTTTGGGTCTGGTCTTGTCTGTAAGCAGAGGAGGCAGAGCCATGTCTCCTGCTGTAGGTGGGATTACCTCAGTGTTTTTAAAGCCCCGTCCTCCCTACAGAGTGCTTCTTTTAGAACACTTTATTTTTATTATTTATTTATTTGCAGCATGGTTTTAAAACCAGCAGCAAAGTTAGGTGCCAGCTTTTTCTTAAGGGTGGTTAGCGAGATTGGGGAAATGAAAGAGGATGAAGGGAGGGCGGAGGGGCAAGGGGGAGTCCTAATCTCCTGGGAGGAGGGCTCAGTGGCAGGAAGGTCTTGCTGTGAGGAGCTGGTAAACAAAGGGCCATCTGGGAGGAAAAAGGGGAAGGAGGCAATGAGCACGGAGGCAATGTTATTTTAAAGTGCTTTGACTCAAGTGGAGTGTTTTCTTCTCAGATTGCTGTGTCTTAATAATGTTAGTGTTTAAATGAGGCTTTGAAGTTAACAGCTGCTATTGTTTGGCTGCAAATAGTTTTCTGAGAGGCTGGGTAACAGGGCATCCCTTTGCACTGAGAGGGCCTGCTCCAGTGGCAGAGAAACCATGTGCCAGTTTTAGTTTAAAGCAACTGTAGATAATCTGAGGAGGTGGGAGAGGGAGGAGACCCTTTTTTTTTTGTTCCCCAAATTGCAGACTTGCTATACCTTTTTTTCTCCCCAGAGAATTGTAAATATTATTTTGTGAAACCAAGCAGGTTGTTTGATGTCCCCAGCTAAAATGCAGTTTTGTTTTTGGCCACAGTGCTGGGAGTCAGAACTGAAATGTTATACTGGAATACGGATTTGGTTTATGCTTTTTGTTTGTTTGTTGGGTGTTTGTTTTTTTTGTACATCAGTCTTTTAGCAAGCACAACTCATTACAGCCCCTTTTCCTTCCAGTTGCTCATCTGCATCGAGTAATTAAATTGCCTGATCTTTGCCTTGCAGGGTCTGTAGCAGCCAGCAGCTGCAGTAGGCTGAGGCTTGTGGGCCTGTCTGCTCAGCCCAGGATGTCTCACAGCTGTCCAGTCCTGCCAAAGGAGACCACTGTCATGCCTTCCTTTTGGTCCCCTTGGTGGGATAAGGTGGCCTTGGAGGACCCCCACTTTGGGACTTAAAATGGTGTTTCTCAGCTGGGGCTGTATTTTACTGCCCATGACTTCCCTGGCTCATGTCTACAGCTGTTTTAGCAATACTAGGGTGAACAAAATGGCCTGCTGGGGCATGGATTGGTGTACTACACAGCTCGTGCTGTGCCTCCATGGAAACCACCACCTTGTGGGGCTAAAAGCCATGCTACTGCTGTTGGTCTCTGCTGCAGGGTTGAAAACCTAGACAAGAGCTGTCAAATCCTCCCTCATCCCTGTGATAGTTTTGCAGATGATTTGTAGTCCTGAGTGTTAGCGCTGAATAGATGCAGGGCAGCCATTGCTTTTAAATGTGTTGCTTGTTAATAAACAATTGTCTCTTTTAGGATGCACGTTGTTTTTTTATGAGACTGATGGCAGATCTGGCATTGATCACAACAGCATCCCAAAGCATGCTGTCTGGGTGGAAAACAGCATAGTGCAAGCAGTGCCTGAACACCCCAAGAAGGACTTTGTCTTCTGTCTCAGCAACTCCCTTGGGGATGCTTTTCTCTTTCAGGTTGGTCCAGTTCAAGGGTTTTACAGAGTTGTTTTTCTGTCTCTGACTAAGGAGAAAATCATAGCTCTGGTTGAAATCAATGGAAAAATCCTGCTGACTCCAGTAGGTTTGAGATTTTCCTCTGGCAGCACTAGAGGAAGGACATGATATATTTGGTAAACGCCACTCAAGAGACCTACCACTGCTTGTGAATCACTCCAATCTGCTTTTTTGTTGGCTGACTGGACCCTTCTTTGTGTAGATGTTTGGAACAAAGTAAGAATTAAGAAATATTCATAAGTCTCTGTAAAAACTTGGAATTTTGTGTGGTTTGACAGCATGCTTATAGCACACAGACCAAGCCAGTTACCATATAGGACACACAGTACTGCATTAAATGGGCTATAACACTTACTGCATCTAGCAAGAGACATATCAAAGATGAGACCTTGTGGAGTGGCTCAGGTTGTTTGCAAGACCAAGAGGAATTTGAAGTGCAAGTGGGTACTTGGACCTCCAGGTGCTCTCCCAGTGGTGCTGCAGAATCCATTTGCCTTTTGTTCATGCAGACCTTAGTCAACATTTTGCTGTTGCCTGGGAGAGTACTAAAAGTGCATGCTTAGGTTTTTAATCAGAAATTAGAAATGTCTGAATTTTGCAGGGTGCATTTAAAAAAAAAATCCAGTAATTATATCAAAGCCCACACATTAGTTGATGTGTTTCGCTGGAAAAAAGGTTTCTGATTTTTGGTAACTAGTGTTTTCCTGAGTGATTTTTAGATTGGCATTCCACTTTCTTATTGCAAGTTGTCAGTAATCAAAGTGCGACACTCTTACATTTGTAACTGCCAGCCTGTGCTGAGGTGATGCCATTTCCTCCTCTTTTGGTTGTTTTTTCACCAGAGGAACCCTGTATTTATTTCCCTTTCCAATGACAAAGAATGTAGAGTTCTTGCCTTCTTAAGCCAGAAGCTACTCTGTGGTAGGATGTGCCCCCATGTTGTCACTTCTCTGTACTTCAGTGCAAAAGTTTAAGATTACACCGTCTCATAGGTCTTTGCAGCTGTCCTAAACAAGGGGCTAAATTCTTGAACTAGTGCAAAATAGAAAAGAGCCTTAATGACTCAAAGGAAGTGGTGCTGCCATAAATTTTGAGGAGACTGTGAATCTGATTGCATACTGAAAGAAAAAAACAGTTGTTTTTGTGGACTAGCTTCTCTGTAACCCCAGTCTAATTTTCCCTCAGCTCATATTGGAATAATGCACTGCCTCTTTCTACTTCATGCCTTTTCTGGGCAGGGTGCATGTATTTTGCCACCTGGAGAGCTTCTTCCAGGAGGTAGATGTGGTGCTTATGGTCTCACTGTGTTCTTGAAAGGTTGTGGAGTACCACCTCCTCTTGATCTACTGATATGAGCTGTAAAATCTTTTCCATGGAATTTTCTAGGGAATAACCTTAATTCTCATAAAATTAATGCCAGTGGATGCTAAGTACTGAAAAGGCCACATTCAGTACATTTCTTTTTTGGCAACACAGGGCCTTATTCATTAGAAGCCCTGTGCCATTATGCCATGCACAGATTTTAATGTGACTTTGTGGGAAGAAGCAAAAATGAGCCTTTTCAAATGAAAGCAAATAATATATATTGCCTTGCAGAAGTTTTTCCTTGGTGTATCCCTTCTTCACATGCATCACTAGTGAAGCAGAAGAGAAAGAAGGGATAGGTCTGGGGAGAAGGGAAGACCAGGCCAGCTGCAGTGGTGGAAGTAATGTGCGAGTGAGAGTGCTGTAGGGCTTGCTCTGCTGCACTCAGAGCAGCTGACGCATGTGTATGGCCCTTCAGCAGTGTTACTTAACTTCTCATGTCATACACATCCACCCACACGTAACATAGGGCTGGAGTAGTGGTTTTGATGAGAGAAAAACACAGACCTGCAAAAGACTGTTCCTGTCTTATGGAGACTGTGTACTTTGTGAGAAAAACAGAGTTGTTTTGTAATGTGGACAGATATTGGACATCTTGTAACAAGCCTTCCTACTGCATTGCACCTGGAGACATCACATACCTCCTCCACAATGATTCCTTGCTCAGTCAGTTCTTCCCGTGCCTACACAAATCCATTACTTGCAGATGTCACATGCATTTTCCCAGAGCTCAGAGCAACTTGTGACACATACTTACATATCAGATATTTGCAGCTTGTTTACGTGGTCCTTTCTGTTGAGAAGTGGAGTGATTCCTCTTGCCTGCTTATCTACCAGGAGAGTCTTAAGCTCCTAGAATCCATTCCAGATTCTTTTTTTCCCACCCTAACCCCAGAAAACTGAAAAGAAGACTGAATCTAGTGGTGTACAGATGATATTTTTAAATGAAATAAGATAAAAATATGACCTCTTGCTGTTAAGATTTTGCTAGGAATTAACAAAGCTTACCATCTCATAAGTCCAGTCCTACTCTCCTCTTTACTGGGGGCTAGGTTTCACCACCTGACTGTAGGCAAGTAAATTCTCTATTTTCAGCAGAAATTCCTCAGCAAGGGGGGCTCAACATGTCTTCAGCAGTGGCAAGAATACACTGTAAGCTCCTGTCTATGAATGAGAGCTTGTTAATAGTATTACCTGGGCAGGGAGCCTGACCAAGCAATTACTTGGTATAGTGCTAACTGAAGACAAGAAAATTTGGAGTAAGAGATAGGGTGTAGACCCTATCCTCTGCTTATGACTTCTAACCTGAGCTAAGGAAAACAATGCCATTCTGGGACATGTGTGTTTGACCTGCTCCAATACCACAGAAGTTTGTGGAGCATCAGCTTGTGCTTGCGTGATTTCCAGAGCTGGGCTTTTGTGGGGTTCTCTCCTTGGCTTCAGTAAGCTGTGTCCTTTGTTTTTAGTTGTGACTGCCAGGAGAGCAGTGCGGATGACCTTCTTCATCTATGCTAGCACCTGGAGAAGTCATACTGTGCTGTCAATTAATAGATCAGATGTAAACAGAATGTTTAATTGGAACAAGGTGGTTTGGCACCTTGCTACTTTTTCAGCCATGAGACAAATACCAGTGTGATTGCTGCTAAAGGCTGGCACAGAAAGTCCTCTGCAAGTATTGAGTTGGCTGTAAATTTTGGTTTACAACCCTAGTGTAAAAAGGAATTAAGTTTAGTTAGAAGGCTAAAAGGATGTACTTTTTATTTAGAAAGTCTGGAAAAGGAATGCTTTGAAATACTCCTGGTGTCAAAAGCTTCTTATCAGAGTAGTGCTCTTCCATAAAAATGTCCTGGTGTCCTATACCCCAGCCTAATATCTCATTCAATCATAGAATCACAGAATAGTATGGGTTGGAAGGGACCTTAAAGATGATCTAGTTCCAACCCTTCTGCCATGGCCAGAGATACCTGTTTCTCAAAGCCTAATTCAGCCTGGCCTTGAACACTTCCAGGGGGCCTTGAACAATTCCAAGGAGGGAAAGTATTGCCTTTTCCCATACTGTCACACACATGCTTGGGAAGGGACAGTACCAGAGCCTTAAAAATTTGATGAGCCTACCTTTAATGATAATAGGGTTGTCTTCAGAGTGCTCTGGGACCTTCAGAAGTAGAAAGCTTGTTTGTCTATAAGTCATAATACAAGCTACTCATAGATATCACAGCCACATTTTATGCCATTAATTTATTGCTAACTGTTGCATGCCAAAAAACCTCTCCATACTGTGAAGAGCACATTCCCTGACTTAAGGAACTGGAGTTTAGAAAAGATTGTTAAATGTTGAGCTACAAATTAGGGCAGCATTGTATTGAACAAGGAAGATAATTCCTGAGACCTTGCTGGGAAGCACTGTACAGCTGCAAAGCACAGATATAGGTGTAATTTTAAGTGCCAAATGCCTAGTGCTGAGTTAAAAATGGCCTGTCTAAGAATGATGGGGTTTTTATTACTTCTCTTGTAAATGGATTTAAGGCTTTGAATCTTAAGATCAAAGGGAAAAGAAGCTCCTTGGAATTGCATTTGCTG